CCGATGCGGGACTCGATCCCGGGACTCCAGGATCATGACCTGAGCCGAAGGCAGTTGCTTAACCAACTGAGCCACCCAGGCGCCCCGAGAATTTAAGTTTTTATAGCTGAGTCAGCAGTAAGTTATATTTCTCTAGGAACTCACCCATTTGTTAACATTTTCAAATCCATAGGCTGTGGATGACCAACGGAGAACTCTCACCCAGCAAAGCGCGTAACAGAGGTCACCTCCTCTGTGAAGTCTTAATTGCTTTCCCGAAAGTTAATCACAGGATTTAAAATTTGATAATCAGAGACCAGGTCTCTGATCAGTTGTTTGTTTTTATGCAGGTGGTTTGAACTGAGTCCCAGTTTACATCTCAGCGAGAATACTTGCCTACTGACCATATAGGGTAGCAATTGGCAAATTAAATGTGTCTGTTGTTAGCAATGGGCATTACTTATATATACCCTCTTAGCCTCTGTCATACAGGTCAGTGATAGTTGGGTCACTTTATACTGTTTTTGTACCTGACCTTTATTTCCAGTGCTTAGCAAAGGCTTGGGCATACAGTGGGTTCTAAATAAATGCTGGCTGAATATGCCAAGCTAATTTCATATCGGAGATAAAAGTAGGTCTTTCATGGGAAAGGGTACTTGAGAGGCAATAAGCAACAAAGAGGTGCTTACTGCCTGCCTTCTCTCCCTTCCAGGCAGTGGAACGTGTCCTGTACCCACACCTGTCCACTTACTGGACAAATCTGCAGGCTGTGCTAGATGATTATTCCGTCTCTAACGCCCAGGTTAAAGCAGATGGGCACAAGGTTTATGGAGCCATTCTGGTGAGTGTCTGCGCCTTCCAGCCTCCCTTCTTCGCTGCTTGAGCTCAGCAGCTCACCTGCCTTATTTTGGAAAACTTGATGGGCCCAGGTTCCTCCTAGTTCTTGCCTATCCTGGTCCCTCTGCTCTTGCAGGTGGCCGTAGAGCGACTGCTGAAGATGAAGGCCCAGGCGGCAGAGCCCAACAAGGGGGGCCCAAGCGGCAGGGGGTGCCGGCGCTCGGACGACCTGCCCTGGGACAGCCTTCTTCTGCAGGAGTCTCCCTCCGGGGGCAGCGCAGAGCCAGGCTTTGGGTCTGTCCTCCCGCTGCCGCCAGGAGGCGCGGGGCCGGAGGACCCTTCCCCGTCGGTGACCCTGGCGGACATCTACCGGGAGCTGTACGCCTTCTTCGGGGACAGCTTGGCCACCCGCTTTGGCACGGGTCAGCCCGCGCCCACCACTCCGCGGCCGCCCGGGGACAAGAAGGAGCCGGCGGCCGCCCCGGACTCGGTGCGGAAGATGCCGCAGCTGACGGCCAACGCCATGGTCAGCCCCCAGGGCGACGAGAGCCCCCGCGGCGGCGGCCCCGC